CTTGCTCCATTCCCCCCTCAGCCAGTATACTTCAGTCTATTGACACATATTGGTAGATGTGCCGTCAGAATGTAGCCGACCTTCTCTCGCCACCTCCACTGGTACTCCCTGGCCCCAGCCTCCATCATCTCTGCTGGATTATCAGCTCTGCCTCCTAACTGGTATCCTGAGTCCATCCTTATTCTCCTCAAGTCCTCTTGCTGGATGGCAATCAGGGTGATCATTTCACATTTCACGATTCTAATTAAACTGTAGTATTCCCTTACTTAAAAGCCTCCCATGGTCTCTCACTGCAATTAGAATAAAATGCTAATGAATATGAATACAGATAAGACTCCACATGTGTTGCCCATGACTACCCTCCAAACTCATCATATGCCACTTCCTTCTTCATTCACTGTACGCCCATCAACCAACAACAGACAAAGCTTGTTTGCCCCTCAGGGCCTTTGCGCTGCATCCTCGAGGCTGGCTTCACCCAGAGATGTGTTTCCTGACCAAACACATTTTTAGCCCAAACACTTCTTTGAGGGCATTTAGAGCAAGGAGCGCCTATGATATAGGTGTTTCTCCAACATAATGTGTTGAATGAATAAAGGTCACAATGTTTTTAGATATTACAGAAGAATAAAAAGCCTTATCAAATATTGTTGGTTTGGGAACTACTGGAGTAAAGTTTTAACACATTTATTTACAGCAAAACTTTTCAGCAACATAATAATTCTGAGGGGGATACAGTACCTTACATTTCCAAAATTACCTGAATAAGGAGTAGGGACCCGCATGGCACATTTTGGGAGATGCTGGTATTGGGACTTTAGAGTGGTCTTTGGAGACTCATAAGACTGGCCTCGTTCTCTCAATTCCTTGCTCTACCACTCACCAGCTTTGTGAACCGGGGCAAGTAACTTACATTCTCTGAGGATCGGTTTCTCACCTGTAAAACGGGGTGATGATAGTACGTGCGTGGTCGAGGTTAGAAATACAAATATAAAGCAATTAGCACAGAACCTGTACATAAGCAGCATTTGGTAATTGGTAGCTATTAGTGACGTAGCATCTATCGTGATGACGCTTTGGAATACGGGAATGGTCTTTCTGTGTCAAACACACTGACTGGAACCCAGAGAAGTCACTGTCTTGCCCACGGTCCACGGAATGAGTCACGGCAGAACCTGGATTAGTATGAACTCTCCAAAACCAAATTTTCCTGGGAAGGTTTACTTATTAATGTTTCAGTTATGTATTTGTTGTGCTGCATCCTCTGGTGATCTATGAAAGGATTTAGGACCATTATAGGCTGTTATTATCTATTGCTAAAATAAGAGTTAAAATATCTGAATGTGATTATAACCAAAGAAGGGGCAGTAGAAAGCAGATTGGATGTAGAGCCATAAACATATCCTGGCTTTGAGTCTTGCTGGGCCCTACAGCTCACCAGTGGTGTCATCTTAAGCAAGTCACTTACTTTTCTGGCTTCAGTTTTATAGTCTGTAAGATGACAGAATTGGGCCATATGGACATCTATTGTCTTGTCTAGGTTGAAAATATCACGATTCATTGTTTGGATCCATCAGGCTCAACAAATATTTGCTTCCCACCAATTATATGCATATTTGTTATGGATTCTAAGGCGGAAGTAAATACAAACAATCATTATTATGATTATTATAACATCTCACGTTTATGCAGACCCTTCAAATTTACCAAAGAGAAAAATATACTTTGAGTCTCTGAGATACTGTTGCGTTAGGAGATCAGGACACATCCTCACAGAATGTTAGAGAAAAAAAGGACCTAATTCTAAAAGAACAAACAGAACCTTACTCCTAGGAAACGGAAGAGGTCATAACCAGGTAGTAATAAGGAATAAACAACAAGCATTTTTTTTTGCTATATCTGTCAGTTGCTTAACTTTGTCTTAAAAAAGCAAAATCAAAAATTATTTTTTTCTGATTATGAGTATCATAGAAAATTTAGAACTTCTTAAGAAGTATTGAATAAGGAGAAAATGCCTACATCCAATTTAATAGCCTGCTTTTCTTTACCTAATATTTTAGTATCTTTTCCAAGACCTGATCAGTAGAGTCATATTCATTGCTGTATATAATAATTTTATCTTTATATAATAATTTTATCTTTCTGGTGTACAGTAACATACTTATCTTAATATGCTTACATTGTTGACTATTATTCTACAGAGCACTGTGATAAATAACTTTGTTTATATAAAAAATTGTACATGGGACACATTTTCCAACTATAATATTTAAAGTTTAATAAGACATTTTTAGCAAATCATATACTTTTGGCCTTTAACTTATTTGATTCTGCCAATATTGCTTTGTATTTGCCTAGATTTCATTCTGTTCCTAAACATTTATTAAGAGGAATCGTTTGCCTGAATCCTTCAATATGATATGTTTGAGCTGGAAATAATACCAATGTTTTCATATTATTTCAAATAGACATGTGATAAAGTGTGTGGTTAACAGTTTTTTCTTTCACCTTCTGTGCGCATTTGCTTCTGGTACAGGGTTTATTAGTTTAGAAAGTACTCAATAAATCTTCAATAAATAAAAACGATTCAGGCTAATCTTAGGCTGAGCAAAACCACTTGAGAAGGATGTTAAGAAAAAACCACTTCCATTCATGATAATAGCTTTCATTTCATTAGGAGCCATGACAACTGAGCACAGTTCAGGAATTCAGACTGTTACATGAGAACTGTGAAATGAAAGATGTTGTTGCTTTAATTCTCCTACATGGGAAAGCGTGATTCTAATAGTTATTTGATTAAATGTTAATGAGATCTACTAATTTGACCCAACTCTTAGTTTTATGAATTAGATATGTCAATTAAAACTAAGACCAGTTAGTTTTACCTCTTTCTTTAACATCTTTGAGTCAACATCTGCTTACAAGAGCAGTGCTGTAACTACCCTGGTTATTTAAATATTAATGACTGCCATTAAAGGTGCTGGAGGTTTGCAGCAGGAAGATTGAGACATTAGATGGCATGCTTAGTTTCTTGTTTCTGCCCCCAGGGGACAAAAAAAAAACAACAACCAACTTTTACTGGAAGAGCTTCTTCCGGTATATTTTTAATGCCACAGATTGTTTTCCCTGCTGAACCAGTGAGAGAGTAAGATTGTTGATTTCAAGCGTTCCATGAAAGTAGCTGTTATTAAAACATCAGCACAACAAGTTCACATCGTTTAAAAAATGTTTTATCAGTGCCATAGTGGTCAATTACCCTTGGGCTTCTTGGGAACCTAATTTCAGTTTCTAAATTCATTTTGTTCTTTATTATAGTCAATAATAGGCAAAGGCAACGTTTAGCTACATATTGTATTTGCTTGGGCTTGTTTAAATTAAGTATGGGGGATTCTATTAAGTTAACCAGGAAAGCCTTTACAAGGATTATATATTCAATTTAATTATAATTATAAACTTTTATCTTGTTGGGGAAATGTGGCTGAAAAGCTTTTTAAATTTGCTGTCACCAGTAGTTTCACATTATGCCAAATTGGGTTGTGATAAGCATGTGGTTAGCAGATTTTTACACATTTTTTTTTAAGATGTTTTCATTGGCTTGGTAATTTAAAGCAGCAAAGAGTCAAAAGCAGGCATTCTATTTGCATAATTGTATATTTCTTTTTGCATCCAGAAGTCTGAGTGAGCAGAGTATTTGTTTATTTCATGTATTTTACTTAGACTTTAGAACTAAGAATTTGAATCATGCTTAAATAGGAGTAGTGCCGAGTAATATAACAGCGCTGATATAGGTGTCATAACACTTATCAGGATCAGGATTAAGGGGAGCAAGTGAGACACCCACCTTGGGTGTACAATTTAAGAACGCCAAAAAACTCAGTCATCAAGATAAATAGTATTTTAATAGGCTCTTCAAAAACAAAGTTAATGGCAAAAAAAATCATGATGAACAAAATGTCAACATTTTAGAAAAAAGAAGAGATCTGACCCTGCATCTCCACCTGACTCTGGTTGAGTTCCAGTTCTCATTTCTCCAAGTTCATGTCCGTGGATAAGGCACTCTTTTGAGTCAAGTTTTCCTGATCTAACACTGGTGATAATAATCTTGGCTTTCCTATTATTAAGAGGTTCAAATCAGCTAAAAATACAAAGGGAAAGACCCTTGTAAATACAGTTTACATGTTTATTTACAAGTTGGGGAAATCACCATATAATTTTAAGCCATTATTATTATCCGCCCAGATGAATACTCTAAGCAAACATCAGATTTGAAGATCCCTGAAGAGCTTTGTGTTAAAGTTTGAGACCTAACTCTTGAGTTTATCATCTAGCTATAGGGGTAGGGGCCGAAAGATAGTTCTAGAACCCTCCCTTCTCTTCCTTCTCTTTTTTTGTTCTTGGGTGCAAATTTTACTGATTTTGTAAGAGACAGCAGAGGGAACCAGAAATTCATTTAGTTCATTTTAAATTTCCCTGCAAAGTGCCCATGGATAACTGAGGTCTCAAGGTTGCTCAAGCTAAAGCTATTCCACCCACCAGTGATGCCTTCCACATTTCTCCTGCCTGTCAGGTCCACCCACCTTTTATTCACATCCGACATCGGTAAGGCCTTCCAAGGCTCCTGGCCTGAAATTTTCTCTGTTCTCTGCCTACCTGTAGTGGATAAACTGTCTGTACCGCTCATTTGGTGATCAGTTAAACAGCCCTCGTTGTCTTGAGGCTTTAACTAATCCTGCATTGAATTTACTTTCCAGACCACAGCATTAGTAATATAAATTTCTCCAGTTACATAGTAAACCCCTGGGAAGCCTCTTGTTAGACTGTTAATTTCAGGGTGAGCAGGGCTGGGTCTGTTTTATTTAGGTGGTATCCAGGGGGTTAGCAAAGGGCCTTTACACACAATTTTTTTGTTTGTTTGCATGAATAAACATACGCCTTGCATGTAAAAGGGTAAATATTTACTCTTTTGATTCATTTGTGGAACTTCACTGTTTTTATCGCAGGCGCAGACGGAATGATTGGTGCCATGTGGAAGGCGACTGTTCTGTTGGTCCTGTTGGTGCTCAGCCCTGGTGGTGATGGGCTATTTCGCTCCATATACAGAAACGTCCCAGTGTCTGCACCACAGAAGGGAGACGCGAGACAGCCATTAGTTCTTACTCCCTATGTGGAAGCTGGGAAACTCTCAGAAGGTCAGTTTCATCAGAAAACCGCTGGTATACTTTCAACAGTTTTTCTTTTTTTTTTAAGCAGTTATCCTACAGGATCCCAAATATATTCTGGGATTTTTATTCACGTGTTCTATTCCAAATGCTAGTGATTTGATGTCACATATTATCAGAGTTGTGAGCTATAAGGAGAGTTCATTGGGGCCAGTTTATCTAGTTGTTGAGCCCCTGTAATAATTCTCTTTATAAAACTAGTACAGTGCCTGTCTAGCACTGGGCACTTAATAAGGTCAATACCAACCTTAGAACTTGCTATGTGTCAGCTGCTGGTTCCAAGTATTCTACATAAACTCGTTTAAGCATCTCGACAACCCAAGGAAGCGTACTCATGTTACATACAGGAAGCTGAGCAGAAAGAGAATAAGTTATTTGTCAGAGTCCACAGACCCCAGAGGCAGGATTCACACCCAGACAGCCTCCCTGCAGAACCTGTGCTCACAGCCACGTGCTGACCCCCTTTGCCTGGCAAGTCACCCAGACATCCTGGGCCTCAGCTTCCTCGTTCATTAGCTGGAGATGTAACAACTTACCCCAGGTACAGGGATATTGTAAGAATCAGAGAAGAAAATGCAGGTGAATACTCTTTATGCCCTGTAAATTGCTCTGTAAATATTAAGTGTTTGCAAATGGGGTTTTCTACTATTATTAGTAGTAGGAAAACAGGTGTCATTTGGTGTCATCTGAGACTAAAATATATGACCTACCTCTACTCTTAATGCTTTTTTCATGCTTAGGTCAATCACTGTGTAGATACATTAATGTTTCTGGACCTCAGTAGGCTCCTGAACTATCAAATAGCATATAGACAGCTATTCTGAGGAGCTGTTTGTAAAAGGAAGCAGAGAAACGGGGTGATGGCTGGAGGGAGCTATGGGGTCAGGGAGTATCTTTAAGAGGGCAGGAGATAACATGTTTGGTCGTGGAAACGATCCAGCAGAGGGGGGAAGGTTGATTGGGGTGGGGGCAACTCTTGCCAGAGCACTTTCTCTAAGTAGATGAGAGACATGGCACCTGGTGCATACATGGAGACATTGGTGTTTGCTCTGGAAGACCGACCTTGTCCCTGGTCATGAGTGTGTAGGCAGAGTTAATGCCTGTGAGGCAGGTGGGTTGGGAGATGTCTCATGGGAGTGTGTAAGTGATACTAGAAATTTTAGGGAAATGATCGTTTTAAAGATAAAAAATATATTTATCTAGTCCATATGGAAGTTTAAAATAAAATGGCCAATCGGATGTCATTCTTTTTTTAGTTAAAACCAGAACAGCATCGTATCTTAAGGGCACATTTGAGTCCTGCTCATATGTCTTTTTTCTAAAATACACATTGGTTCCATGTTTCACCATCTTTTCTAAGAAAAGGTGAAAATTTTTGATAATATAGTCAGTGTTCATCAGCGTACATTTGATAACTTAGCCAGTGGTCATGTAGGCAGACGGTATAGTTAGATAATGCAGTCAGTCTTTAAAAAAAAAAAAAGATTCATTTTTACTTGCTGTAGAAAAGTCATGAGATGATGGTAGCCTCCTGTCAGTAGACGTATATGAAGAGGTGATCATTAATCCAAATTTACCAAACTTTCTTAATAAGTGGATACTAACGGCTTAGATTATGTTCATTAACAATAAACCGGGTTGGCTGAGTGGCGTGTTGGTTAGGAGTTGGCTTGGGACGCCAGCTCTGAACAGCAGGGCCCGGTTCGGATCCCACATGAGGGCCAGTGACACTGCCCTCTACAGCTAAGATGGTGACCAACAGCTCGACCTGGAGCTGGGCT